CATTGGTCACTTCCAGTTGATAATCTCCCCGTTTTGTAGAAAGATTCCATTGAACTTCCCTTTGGTTGATAATCCCCCGTTTTGCAGGGAGATTCCAAGGGTATCACAGAAGGTAAAATCGAAACCAACTGCCTCGATGCGGTTCGCGCGTCTAGCTCGCGGTGGCTAGGGCTCCCGCTGCGGCAGGGCAGTTGGCGATGAGCTCGCACTCCACCTTGGATGTGTGGATGTAGCTGGGGCAAACCGATACATCGACCAAAAACAAAACGCTCGAAAGTTTGCGGGTGGAAATCGATTTACACCCCCAAAACCAGACGCCTCGTGAGGTACCCAATGGCTTCGCGTTGTTTGGGGTGACCTGGTGAATGGATCAGATCAGCCAACCTGAGGGAGTCCTCCGTTTTCCATGGTGGAACCTCCAAAAGGCGATCGTTTCTATGGAAACCACACGTAAATTGATCAACTTTAGGGGAACTCCAGTGACCATTACCGCACTCACCCCTGATTTTCGCAGACTTGGCAAAGTGGCATCAAGATTAGGTTTGGATTTTTTGTAAAAAGTTTGCTTGCTACTTGGATGGTCGGTTAAGTTAGTAAGTGGTTAGCCAACCCACTAATGACAGGACTAATTCCACTTGGGGGGACTTACGAATGGGTTATTGCCTAGGTTGCCGACAACTGTTAACTTGGCCAGACACTTGAGTAGCTAAAAGGAAAATACTTGAGTAGCTAAAAGGAAAATAGAGGAACTCCAAAAGCGCAAAAAGTTAGAGAGGTTAGCTAAGCCACTGGCAATGACATGTTTCTAGCTTCCCTCAGCTTCGTCTAAAGGAAAACTGGTACCAACTCTTGTCACACTCTTTTCTGAAAGCGAGAGACAACCGCAAAGCACAGTAGACTCCAAGGAGGCGTCCCCAGCGCTTGCGCATACCAGTGTGCTTGGATAACTCAGGTTTCTTCCCTCTCGATTTTACATGATGGCTTCCCCTGGTTACCTACTAGGTAACCGGAAGCATTGGGGTCTGCATTTTGACAAGCTTCCGCCAACGGTTTTAGGTAAAGCTGTCTGAGGCAAATGCCTCAGGCTATTGCTTACTGCCCGAAGGACCCAGGTATCAAAGGTTAATTACAGTCTGTGCAGTAGGTCAAGTCTGTGTGGAAGACTATGTCAAAAAAATGCCTCACCTTGACTAACATATACACACATTGGGCAACAAAAAGGTGCAAAGGGCGGCGCTACGGGAGATTGCCAAGGTGAGGCATTTTTTGATCTAGTCTTCCACACACACTTGACCTGCACAGACTGTAACCCTCTCCCCCGATCTCATTTCAAGGGGGTTGCGCAGACTTAGACACCGACTTACAGTCCCTGCCTCCGGCCATTTCGGCCATGCACAATGGGCCCTGTCGCCAGGTCAGCTGACATCAAGGGGTTTCATGGGCCCTCCCCCCCCCACAGGTCCTGATTCTGAGAATCCTGAGGTGCATCGCGCTGTGCGCAAATGCAAGCCCAACAATCAGAAATTTTGCCCGCCCTCAGGCAGCGGCGATATCCTGCAGCTTGGCTGCCTCAGGCACATCTTTCACCACCGGGCTGAGTTCCCTCAAAAAACACGCCACCCGAGAAAGAAACGCGGAAACTAGCAAACAAGTTTTGACACGCACATCATTTGTGATCAGGTTCGCTTGCAAAACGTGTAAATTATGTCGCGCAACGGAGACCTTAACTCAGTGAACGGAAACCTCGGTCCCATTTGCCCAACTGCTCATGTGGTAACAAACCAGCCACCCGAACATCAGCCACCGGACATCCCAAAGACAAAAGCGACCTTCGAGGGACAGGGTGCGATTGAAACTCTAGGGGGTGCTTTTGCACGCGTGGCCGCGTGGCCCCCCTCCCCTTGAGAGTGCCATTGGCAGTGCAACCATGGAATCCGGGCATCTAAACGTCCAACCCACCCGTGGCAAGTCCAACAAAGTACCCTCTAGCCTCTTAGCCAACTTTTGGTCCTCAATTTCCAGGGATAAGAATCGTAGAAGCTTACAAGATGGGGTGCCTGTGCTGAGGGTTACCTGCACGGGAGGTAACCAAATCCCAAGGATGGATTGGGGTTGCAACATGGCTCTGGAACAAGTCGCTATTGTTTTACCCAAGTCTTTAATTCCCATAACTACATGTTTAAATTCAACTGAATGGGATTCCCTTGGTATCACAAAAACTGGCTGGCCCTAAACCCAAATTTCTACAACCACGGGATACCAACCTGCTGGCTGCCGCAAGCCATAAAAACCGGCAACGGCGCCTGGGTCTCCGGATGGCAAGAGCTCACGAGCTTTCGTTCCGCCACCTATCCGTGAAACGGAGCCGCATATGGGGTTCGGGGCAAGATAGGTCTGGCAATCCGCATCTGTTGGAAGAATGGATCATCTAAGACTCGAAGAAGAGGCCTGTGTGTCCTTTTCGTCGTTTTGGGCTTGTTGGCGACAGACCGCCCTACGCGCATGGACTTCTGGCTCTACCAATTGCTCTACCAACATGGTCTTTTCGTATCTTTACCCCACCTTGTGGCAGGAAAGTAACGCCCAGAGCCCTCCCCCAATTTGGTGGAAGGTTCTAAAAAGTTGAGCCAAAGGGGGCATAGCTTTCGAGCTGGTAGATATCAAACCCTGGTTGACGCAATGTGTCACCACGCTGCCCCTCCCCATCTTGTTGGGATGAGAGTTTGGCAATGTGGCAAAGCTAGCTTCCAACGATCTCATACACCTTCCGCCAGCGACAAGGCTGAGAAACAACACAAGAACCACACAAAAGCAGCGGCCCTGCCAAGTTCAGACATGCAAGTATTGGCTTCTACAGGCTTCCTTGCAACGCTTCCTTCTAAAGCACCGTGCCGCTTCCAATCAATGTGCCAAAGTCCTGGCTTGCAGGGGTGGACGATCATCCCTATCAGGTGCAAAGAAGCTGGTGTCTGCTACGCTGACACATGGTTTCGGATATGTCAGGATTTTGCTGCTTGCTCTGAGCAGGTCGTGCACCGCGAAATGAAAGGACGAGTTGTTGAAGGAGAAGGGGCAAGAGTGAGTATGGCGCAAAGCAGGCCGGCATGGTGTTTGAAGAGGAACCAGGTGGATACCAACCCTTCGCAGGTTTATGCTCAAGCCCAGACTGCTACCCTACACCCCAACAGCATCATCCCCAGAATCTCGGCCTCGAAATTGGGACTATTCTACTCCCCTCCTTTATGCGAGGGAAGAACGCTCATTCCCTTTGGGAACCAAAATGGAGGGTTCACAATTCACCCTGAATTGGGCTGCCTGAAGAAACTTGCCCTCATTTGAATGACAAATCGTTCAGCAAATTTGCAGAACCCTCCAGCACCCGACCCTTCCCCTGAAGATTCCAAAGCCAACCATGAACTGAAGCAACCATGGATACACTGAGCCAACCATAAACCACTGAACCACCCCTTTAAAGAGGCTTTATTCACTGGAAACACTGAACAATTACAGTCGCCCACCCGCCCTTGAGGCCAACTCCGGGCGACCAAAGTCGGAGCCGTGACTCTGCGCTGTTTTCCACCGAATTGCCGCTGAGAGCAGTCTACCCGAGAAGGGCCAACAGGACCCAGTGGCTCATTTTGGCCCATGAAACAACATGGGCTGCAAATGCCAGCACACTTGCGTATGGTTTCTCTTTGGATGCCCTTTGAAACAATCCAAGGCAAATAATTGCCTTGGATCGATTCTTGCGGGAAATCCACTAAACAAAAAGGGATCTCAAGGTGCCACTGAACAACTGGGCCACTGTCGGCATGCCAAACAATTGGCCGTCCCGCTGCTCGCCCCGAGTGGCAAGGCATGGTGAAAGCCTGGCAACCATGTGCTAGAGGAAGGCAGGCCAGTTTGGGCTGTTCCGTCCGCCCCGGCACCCTAGGCGTCCTTTTGGAAAAAACAGATGGCGGCTGCAAAAACCTGCTGAACCAGACGTAACCTATATATGCGTAACCCGGCCACTTGGTCTTCTCCTCTGGCTAGCCTGATTCGCCAAATCCGAATGAGCAAGCCAACACTCTTGATGAGTATGTAATAATTTGGCAAGACAAAAAATGCAAGAGCTTGGAGGAAACCTGGGAGTGCAGACTTTATGCTCGGGGGTGTCAGTTTGCAGCGCCTTGAACCTGAAATCCCAAAACAGTCCGGCCGGTTTGTGTTTGCGCACAGGCCTTTCTGGTAGTAAAATGACTTCAACCCAGCAGCAATTTCCCTTTTTGAGCCAATCCACGTCCGGGTTTAAATGTTGCGGGAAAGCAAAGCAACGGAATCCCGTCTTCTCGTTGCTCCTGCTCGCTTTCTCAATTTGAAGTCTCCAACTTTCAAGCAGCCAAAGATGGGGTGAATACCTGGAGGCCAGAGACCGTGGCGGTCCAGGATGTTCAAACGACTTTCCCTGGAGATGTAAACGTAGACGAAAGCCGAAACGTTCTGCAAAAGGAATGTCAGGGTTTGTTGTTGCGGACATGTTTCACGCAAAATAACCTTGCAGTTCAATCGTTTGAAAGCTCGGTTTGGACAAGGACAACTGCAATCTGCAAACAGGGGCAACCGAGGCGAACAGCCCCGAGCTGATTGCACAATCATAGCCCTAGATGTGATTTTGGGAAAGTAGACGGCAATCAATGGATAAAACCAAACGGAACCTGTCCAGGGACGCCAGCGGCTAACAAATGGTTTGTCGAATGACCTCCTTTGGGCTATTTTCGCAGGCCGTTCGACGGCTATGAAGGGGCCGACTCTGGGTTGAATCCGTCGTTTCTCAACCAAACTGACCTATGGTCCTCTGACCAAAGCTGTGGGGGAATTCCTCCTTGAGCTAGCCGTTCAACTTTCTGCAGGTTGCCGGGAAACATGCTAAATCCGCACTTCGCCAACAGTTACAGGTCAATTCTCCCTAAATATCCAAGCAACAAGCAGCCACGCCTTCGGACCCCTATGCCAGGCCATCAGTCGTCCGTCCCGTGCGTGCGGATGTGCGACTGCACGGCTACTCTCGAGGCCTGTGTCAAGGGGCAACTCACGCGCTGGTGGGAGTTTTGAGGCATCCTCTCCGGATTGGTTTGGAGGGGCACCAAACTCCCCGATGTAAAACGCAACGTCCCGCTAAGAAGCTGCAAACATAAACCGGGGTTGCATGACATTCTTTAGCAATTTAAGGTCCCGTTCATTCAGAGAAGTAAAAAGACGCAAGGGGTCAGCCAAAAGCAGCAGCAGCCGGTTTTGGGTGGCCCGGGGCCTGCCGGCTGGAGAGTGGGGACTCCTGCTCCTTGGGCTTATTTGCGGCCCAGTGACGCCAGACTGAATGACAAAACCTGTGAAGCTGCAGAAACTGACTAGAGTTACTTCTAAGCCGGCCATCAACCAGCAACTCACCGTATTCTTGGTGACGTGCTGGTTTTCCTTGAATTCGAAGCTGTCGTTTCCCGGTCGGGGAGTTCATTTTCATCGGCTCCTACAAGTGAAGTAGTGTAAGCGGCTAAATCATGACATGGTTTGGTTTCACGGCACCCCACGTCCCATCCAAATTATGTTTGGCCGTTACAGTAAGTCGAGGAGCTTTGTGCGGCTCAAAATGGCAGATTCTTCGGGGGAGATCCCTGGCTCGGCGCAGAATTTGGCCCAAATTCCATGGCTGCAGCCCGCGGCCGGCAGGACTTCACTGGATCCCAGACCCACAAATTCTCAAGGCCTAAGTCCCTAAGTCATGTACGCAAGGAGGCAGTACCTCCGGCCCTTGGGTACAAGGGGAAAGCTGCATGGCAGTGGGTCCCCAACTTGGAGACACAAGCAATGGGTCCCTATGAAAATCTATCGTAGTCTTCTTGGGGGGCGAGGGAAGGAAGGAAGGAAGGAAGGAAGGAAGGAAGGAAGGAAGGAGGGAAGGAAGGAAGGAAGGAAGGAAGGAAAGAATGCGAAAAAACAACTGAAGGAAGGACGGATGGAATGGAGGGAGCAGGCTTACCAACTCAGAACTACCCCTGGCACTGAGTGATTGCAAGAGTTGATTCATCCGCATGTGCCTAAGGTACAAACAAGAATTATGACTGCCTGCGATGGCGCTGTGCTTTGACAACCTATGGAAGCTGGAGCGTCATCTGCACACGTAGGTTGCATCTCATCTTACTTGTACCCTACTCAACTTTTTCTGCCGGGTGATGGTCAAGTCCGTCAAAACCCGCTTGAACCATTCCGCGTGGTTCTCTTGAAATGCTGCCCTTCTTCGACGGGCACGTCGCCCCAACACACTTCCCAGCTTTCCTTGGAGACTTGAAAGGCTGTCCGGTAGGCTCTTGCAGCTCTTGAAGACTCGTTTGAAGCACCAAGATGTTTGCAATCAGTACTGAAAGAGCACAGGCAGGGTGTCACTTCCGCAAACAGCGCCACCTGCCTGCTTTCCGGAGGCCAGGTGAACCAAGCCAAGGCATCAAAAAAATCCACGCGCGCGCCTCCAAGCGAAACGATCAGGACGCGCCTCCGCGATCCGCGCAGCTCGTTGGGCATCTTCTTGCGCCTTGCGCTTCAGCTCTTCTGCCATGATCTTCCTCCTGGGTAGATAGGTACCCTCTTTCTTGGAAGAGGCTCACATCTAAACCTAGGATCGAAATCTCTTCTACCATTTTCTTCAAGCGCGTTTTAGTCAAGCGCAAGGATGCAAGGAGTCACCAAACGTATGCGACTCTCCATGAGGATGGTGGTTTTCCAAAACCCTTCCGACTGCCTTCTATTGTTGGACAAGAGCATGTGGTTGCGAAATGCGAGTGGGCGCCCCCATGCCATTTGGCAGATACACAAGGCCATGTTGGGTCAGCTGCATGTTGGCTATGGCGATCACGCAGCCTGGGGCCAAGGGAGTTCCACAGCGTATCCGGCGTCCCCAATTCCAATGACCCACCTCTCGCCTCCAAACAGTAGGGCGCAAATGAAAACACACATACACACTTTACACTTTGAAGAGTTGCCCACCAGCTCTTCACTAAGTGTGTCGGACAATGCCCACACCGTCAGCTTGGTTCTAGAATAATCTTCCCAAATGCCTTTTGCCAGCGACTCGCAGCCGGATCTCCAGTCATCCTTCTCCCAGCGCGACTTTGACCCATGAGCGCCAGGCGTTTTGCGCTTCAAACACCGACGCAAACCACCGCCCATCTCTCCTAAGCTGCTGCGCCAGTCTTGTCTTCGCCTCCTCTGAGACCGGGCTGTGGCTGATCGCTCCCGCCTGAGCCTGCGGCTTAGGCTCTTCTCTTCTGGCCTCTGCAGGTGTCACCCTCAATGGCTTCAAATGAGATTGGCGCCCCAAAAAGCAAACAATCGATTTTGAGAGGTCCCCTGACAAGGTAGTACCCTCCCAGTATGCATTTTAAGACGTGGTATGGTCAAAAACTGATTTCTCCCACAAGAGGACGTGAAGCCATTTCGAGCTCAGGCTGCCAGTAGTTTCGACCGAACCCAGAGTGCTAGGTAGGCGTTTTGGAAAAAGAAAATGACCTTTCGTTCCCCTTCACATTGTAGCACCCATACAGCCCATACATGTTCTATTGCGCAGCGCCTGCTCCCTCCTTGCCACTTCGCTCCGTTCCGCCGTGGGCCGCTTCTCAGCTGCAGATGGTGCCGGAGTTGGCGGGGAATCGGCGACGGAGCCTGGCTGCAGTTGCCTCGGGTGCTTCAGACAGTCAGCTTCCCTCTTGGTGGTTTGGGGCCCGGTTAGGCGGGTGCACATTTACCCTGAAGAACCAGCGGGGGAACTTGACACAGGGGGTCTGGAGAAAATGCGCACATCACCTTTTGGCTTCCAAGGGTTAAATCAAATTTGCCAAAATGGGGGACCCAAAACAGCAGTTTTCCTTTCGGGCCTGGACGCAAACAACAACCCTCTTTTGGTCTATTTGGCACGCAGAGGGTCAGGAAGGTGATAAAGGGTACCCACCAAGCCTCTCAGTTCTAAGTGCCATGGACACATGCGCTAAGTGTGGATGTTGACATGATGAGCCGCTTCAAAACAGCCTTAAGACAACACATGAAGCACGAGAGTTGAACCTTGCCGCGAGCAGCGGCAGTGCCAAAGGAGCATGAACTAGAAAGAAACAAAGAGGCGCTTTGACAGCAAAAGGGCGCAAACTGCTGAAACTAGGTGGGGAATAGTAGCAAGGCGATGTGGCTACTGGTTCAAAGACCCATGTATGCCCCAATTTCGGCTCCAGCCGCAAAAAGCAAAACAGCAAACACCAATCATCCATACTTAAAAGCCAGGCATTGTTCATTTATAATGTGTTTGGCACCCAATGCGTCGACACACACACACACACACACCCAACCACCCAACCGCCCAACCGCCCAACCACCCAACCACCAAACAACTAACCCCCCAGCAAACCCACCCACCCAACCACCCATGCAACCACCCACGCTCGGACGCGCATGTGTAGGCGCGCTGTCAGTTTCCTGCAGCACGCCGAATTCGGAGCAACGAACTTGCCCGGTTCGGACCTGGGAAAGCTGCACCTGGGAACCTTGAAGGTGGTGCAATTTTGGGCAGTGAGCAAAGGGAAGCCAAACTTCCATGTGCAAAAAAATGAAAACGCCCAGTAGTGTTAGATCCCCTTGAAACCCAACAGGGCAAATTTAAACAGGAGCAAAGGGAAGTTCACATGTTTGATCCGCGCAGCCACTGCCTCACGCTCTGCAGGAGGGTCAGCAGGCTTCCTTCCCGGCATCCCTCCGGCAGATCATAGTCCAGGATGGCGAAATCCTGGGAGCAATCGGAGGGCTGAGAGCCATGAATTTTCAAGCACATGGCCCATCAGGTGGTAGACTTTTCTCACGCGCCACTTCAAATCTGCAAGCGACAACTGGCACACCTGGGAAACGCACGTTCTTGCTTGGGTGTGTCTTACTAGGCATTGTCTCTCTTGCCAAAGCAAGCCATGCATTTCCCGATGGCACCACCAAACAAAATGCCACAAACAACGCACGAGCTGAATGTGGGTATGAATGTTATTAGGGGGCCTTTTAGTGGGCATCATTTAGGTGGGACCACCAATTTCCATGTAGGAAAAGAAACCTTAGAGTATATACCATATATCCCTTGGCTGATGTTCATCTGGGACACCTTTCGGTTGACCTCCGGATCATTCGCAACACCTGCTTTCAACCTGAATAACCCTGCTCGAGCCACAGAAAGGCTGCTTATCCAAAGCCAATCAACTGACACCAAACTCCAGACATCCTTAAACTACCACAGAGATGGACTCAAACCGTCAACCAGCCCTTGCACTCCAGGGGCCCAACGACGGAATCTTGGTTGAGAAAAGAAAGCCAAAGGAAAAACAATCCAATGATGTTTCTTGTCTGGGTCTGATTTTCACAGAAGTCGCAAAAAAAAACACCATTTTTGGTCCCCCCCAATTCTTAAACGCACCCAATGGAACTGTCTTGTGTGGCTCACTGGCTTTTGCTCGGCAAGGGCGCCGGAAGCAGCAGCCAGCAAAGGCCTCGCAGGTACGCGCCCCCATTCTCCGCCATAGCGGCCTCCATGGCCATGTGGCTGTCACTGGCGACCTGCGCGGGCGGCCCAAAGGACTGGTTGGCTCCCCTTTTAGCATCACCCCCCACAAGAAACCTGAACTGTCATGGGGGCCCTGCTTCAGGTTGGTGAAGCTTGCCGTTCACCCAGACATTGTGAAACTCACGGGCTTCACAAATGCGGGCTGCACAGGAACTGGTTTGAAGCCGAAGTACGGCATCACATGTGAGGCACTGTCGTAAGCTGGCCTGATATAGCTGCAGTACACTTGGGAAGAACTATGGTCAGGCAAATGTCAAGCGTTATCAACAATAACCCTGCCCAAACCCGACAGCAGCTTGGCTCTCACCCACACTCTGGACTTGGCTCCGGTACAGTGGGGCACCTTGGGCCAATGATCACCAAGCCTTGCGGTTGGACATGGCTCTCCACGACCCCGTGCCCCTCACTGGGCTTGATTCCCCCCTCAGTGAGCTCTCATAAGTTCACTAGATGTCATGATGCCATGGGTGATTATGGGTGCGTCTCTGCCTTGAACAAGCTCAGGGCGCCCTGCTGCAAGGCCGTCTTGTCTTGGTTGTCCTTGGACTGTTTGCCCAAACCCATGGCATAGCCATGGCAGTGCCCGCCCAAGGGCACGTGAAACCTCACTAGAAACCCGCCCCGGTAAAGTAAGGCAACTGATTAGGAGAAGTTCCCCGCAACATTTGTTTTGCGCCACAAACAATATCCCCATTGATTGTGGAGCTCTTTCGGCGCTACAGGGGGGCTGTCCAGTATTCGCGTTTGCATTTCGGCGCATCAACACGCATGATTCTCGCAAAGGGATGCAGGTCGACCGCAGGGCCTCAAAAGGCGTTGGAAATGGACATTTTACCTTCACCGCCCCAATTAATCAATATTGTTTTCGCAGGGTCTCACCGTTCTGAAGGAAAAGAACCGAAACAAGTACAGGAACAATTGCTCTGAGTAATGGGATTTGTTGAGGCTTCTCTCAAAAGGGTGGAAAGTGTTTTTGTTTTTCTCCCTAGGTTCGGCGCGGCATTTTTTTCCTCGGCGGGGCAGTCCTGATCCAGAAAAGCCGCAGAGGGTTCACTTTTTTCGAAGAAGCCATTGTTTGGGCCGGGCTTGGGGGGGTTTTAGCCTGGGCTTCAGGCTGGCTTAAGGCTGGTTTAGGGTTGTTTAGGGCTGGTATCCTTTTTGCGATGCAAGGAAGTGCGGGGAGATGAAGGGGAGGAAATAAAGGGAAATGCAAGGACATGCAGGGACAGGAAGTCGACTTGACAGGAAAGCAAGGGGAAACGACAGGGAAACAAAGGGGAACTGAAAGGGACATGAAGGAGAAAGAAATGAAAACAGGCGGAGTGAAGGGGGAATGAAAGGCAAACAAAGGACGAGGAAACCAAAGAACACGAAGGGAGATGTAGGGAAATGACTGGCAATGAAAAGGTGGAAAATGAAGCGGACATACCGAGAAAAGGATAGGGACATGAAGGGGGAATTGAAAGGAATGGAAGGGGACATGACTAGGACATCATCATGGGAAATGACGAGACATGAAAAGGACATGAAGGGGAAATCAATTGGAAAGCGCATAGTAAGAAGACAATTCAGGGGTCATGAAAGGGCAGTACACGGACATCGAGGCAACTCAGGGGGGACATGACGCCAGAGAGAGAGAGAGAGAGAGAGAGAGGGAGAGAGGGAGAGAGAGACAGAGCGGGAGAGAGAGACAGAGAGCGAGAAAGAGACAGAGAAAGAGTCAGAGAAAGAGACAGGGAAAAAAAAAAGAGACAGAGAAAGAGACAGAGAAAGAGACAGGGAAAGACAAAGAGAGAGAGAGAGAGAGAGAGAGAAAGAGAGACAGAGAGAGAGAGAGAGAGTGGAAAGAGAGGAAAGAGGATTTGAGAGGAAAGAGAAAGGAAATAGAGAGGAAAGAGAGAGGAAAGAGAGAGAGGCAGCGACCAGGGAGCGGGGTGGGGGGCAAAGAAACGAGGTGTGGAGAAAGAGGCATAGCGAGGAGGTCGAGAAAGATAGAGACATAAGAGAAGAGGGATAGAGAGACAGAGAAGCAGAGAGAAAGGCATAGAGAGGAAGGAGAGGGAGACAGAGAAGCAGAGAGAAAGGCATAGAGAGGAAGGAGAGGAAGAGACAGAAAGAGAAAGAGAAACAGAGAGAGAGAGAGAGAGAGAGAGAGAGAGCCAGGATTGGGACGATTCGGAGGATGGGGAGGAGAGAGAGAGGGAGAGTGAGGGAGAGAGGACGAGCGAACACACGGGGAGGAGAAAAGAGAGAGGGGAAGAAAGAGAAAAGACAAAAAACACAAAAACTAGGGTGGTTTAGGGATAGTTTAGGGCGCTGGTTTGGGTGGGTTTAGGGTGAGTTTAGGGTGAGTTTAGGCTTGGTCGGTTTAGGGTGCTGGTTTGGGCTTGGTTTGCAAACAATATCCTGGAAGTGATGCTAGCTGAGGATGTGGGAAGGCAAACCAAACGCCACAAAAGCACGCAAAACACCGAAAGCCAAAGAAGCACCCGCGCACTGACGACGGACCGACCGGCCGACCGATCGACGACCCTTCCACGACCCAGCCCGCCAAACCTAGGGGAAAAACAAAAACTCGGGGCCTCCTCAAGCATGATTTCGATAAACAATGATAAACATAAAGACAATGTTCCTCATGTGCATGTGGTTGAGCATTCTTGAAGGGCATCTCATGTGCAAAGCCAACAAATACCGCCAACAAATACCTGAAAGGTATCCCATTTGCAAAAAAGGAGAAGCAAACAAAGAAAGCGAAACAACCAACAAAACTTATCAACAAGGTCCTCGGGAAAATGTGTTGGTCGTGCCATGTCGGAAAGGCCTCCAATAGAAAAAAAAAGGAAACAAATGCACAAACTGAGGGACATGTTTTGGTTCTTACCAA